CAGACCCCCCCCCCCCCGATGAGTTACAGTTTAGTTCGTGCAAACGCCGGGTTTGGGGAATGTCGCAACACGCGCACACCAATCTCTCAAGCACTGATCGAATAGAGTTCGTTCACCATCGTTCGTCTTGCATCACGTTGAAAGATAACACTACACGACTTTCCAGTTTGCAGAAGTAATGATGCATAGCAGCAATGAACCGGAACCACCAAACGCAACCTGTTTCCTGGCCCCTCGCGATTGTATCCATATGAGGAACATTGATGTCTGGCCCGCTCGCTGTTGACAATCGGAGTGGCGTCATTGTCGTCGGCTGGCTGCAGCATTGCGTCCACATTGCCTACGACCCCTACACCGTCTTCATTAACGTCGCTAATGGCTTCAGTGAAATTTAGTATCTGCTTTAATGGCCTTCAATGCTTTGGGAGCTTCGGGTCCGAATGTTTTGCAGCGCTTGGTCCGGTCAGAAACAGTCCGATTCCTCGTTGACTTTCCGGCGTGAGCTTCCTAACAGTATCAATGGCATTAAAGTACTATGATATGGTTAACATGTATGTCTCCTGTAAGATTCTAGCGGCTTTGGCATGGACAGCCCATTTTTGGCTGGAGGAATGAACTTGTACGGTTGGAACATTATTTATTCTTAACTTTCAGGACCACGAACATTTTTTTATTCCGAATTCGGAATATATTCCGCAAAAAAATAACGCTGGCGGGCACCTACTTTGCCGGTGCTGTTGATGGGAGGAGAGGAAGGTATTGTACTCAAAACAATACCGCAGGCCCTCTGCACTGCCAAAGTGGGTCGTAGTATGCTGCTTAGTAGTTTTAGCGATACTTGGTAGCACTACGAATATCCACGTCACCATACGGATTGCATGATTAGTTAAGTGACACAGCTCGTTATATGCATACGGTTGCTGTCGTCACTGAATTAAAATCTGGGCTGGGTTGGATTGGATTGGGTTTGGAAACTGCGTTTTAGAGGCCTCCTGGTCATCCTCAAGCGCACCACTGGGGCTGCTTGCATCTTCCTATACGAGATGTCGATAGAGAGCTATGTTTCCTAGTCCAGAACACGAGCCGGATCTGTGCGTCTTCGTCCTGAGCCTGCCTACGGGAGGTGAGAGTAGTAGAGGGTACTATAGTACCGTAGTAGCTCTTCCGCCGCAGCTGTGTTGGCCCTCTGCCCCCGGCCATAGCGAAGCAGGCCAGGTTAAAACTTATTCAACACATGAGCGTCGAACACAACCCAAATGTCTGAAGGTGTTGTATCGTCGCGCGGGACCAAACATCTAAGCAATGAGTCGGCAACTGTCTCAGCATTATACAACGTGGTAGGTAGTCAGTTTTAAGACAATTATAGGTTATTATTATAATTATAGGTAGAATAAAAAAATCTCGGTCGCAACGAGTGCGTTCGTAAAAACGCGCCCATTAGTAAGGTATATGCATTGCAAGCTGTCTGGACGGTGCAGCAGCATTAGGATTGACGACCCAAAGTTAATTGAGTAAGCTTAATTAATTTTATTTCCACCTCACTACCTAAGCACAAACGGTATCGAATCGTCTCTTTAACTCGGGGCAAACCGCTCTCGGCGAGTGCCTCGGGGTGTTCGACAGGCCGACAGGCGACCGGGGCGTTCGACAGGCCGACAGCCTATCGGACGGTGCGCCTTTCCGCTTCCAAGAAACTTGTGCAAGGGAACTGATTGACTCTTGTTACTACCCTTCGAGTTTAGACAATCCACTCGCTCATACCCTCCCAGGCCATAGCAATACGCTCTAGCAGCTCCTCTTTTGATATCCCATCTCCAAACGGCCTCGGCATTGCCCCTGCATAACTAAGTCTTAAATGTGTTCAGGCTCGTAAGCGTTTTATTAGACCGCTATGCCGCACCCTACAGGTCTCCTTTTCTGTCTTGCCGCATTTCTAGTAGCATGCTCCGTTGGCCCATCCACGGCAGCTATTGCTACCTCAGGAGCAAACCGAAAGACTGCGGCTCCTGCTTTTGGCGCCAAGCATCTTCCCGTTCGACGCTTTTTCAACCCGACCGGGTCCTCCGGCGGCAAAAAACGTACGACGACCATTGGCTCGTCGTATCTGCGCTTCAGCGCTAGTGCTGCCAGCGGCCATAGGCACCTGCTCGACACGAACGCAGCTGTCGACGGCACCAGAAGCCACATCTCAACCGACATGCAAACGCCCTCCACCACCAGCATCCGAAGCAATGGCGGCATCAGTAGCCCTAAAAGCGGAACCCTGTCTGGCGCGGTTGCCAAGAGAGGCGGTGCTGACTCCGCTGTCGTGGAAGACTTCGCCACACGGGGAATGAGAAGTGGCTCAGAGCTCCTGGACAGCACCGGCAGAAGCAGCGGGGAGGAGGCGGAGGGCGAGATGGAGGAGGTGGGGGCCTACGAGTTGGAGCCGGTGGCGGATGATGAGTCGGAGGTGGCAGCGGCGGCGGCGAAGGCGGCAAGTGAGAGCGAGGGGACCGCGGCAGCTGCGGGGCAGGAAGTGGAAGACGAGGTACCGGCCGAGGTGACGACGTCAGAGGAGGAGGAGGTGACGTCAGAGGAAGACAACGTGCCGGCAGGAGCGGAGGAGGACGAGGACGAGGACGAGGACGCGGAAGATGAGGGAATGGTGGAGGATGAGGATACTGCAGAGACGGCGGAGGAACCTTCTGAGGACGAGCGGATGGCTCAGGAAGCGCAGGAAGAGCCGCGGGCTGTGCGCATTCCCTCAGATTCGGTTGCAGATATTCGCAACACTCGGGAAGAGGTTCTCGACGTACAAGAGTACGGCGGGGAGGAGCCGGAGCGCGCAGGTACGATGGGCATGTAACGTGTGTACGTGTGATGCCGTACAAGTTAGGACCCACGTCACACGTGTCTGCGTGTGTAGGTGTACACGTACGGCATGAGAGGGAGACCAACCGATGAAATTCTGCACTAAAAATATTATGTTAACCGGATAAATTAGGTAAAGCTCCTTTTCCTTGCCTCTTCGCCCCTTCAATGGAGCCCTCCAAACGCGCAACCACGCATTTGCAGAGCGCTGATGGGCGCACCCAAGGACAAGGACACCAAAAGCGGTGTCATGCCTAACAGCTCTTCCCCCCCTCTCACCCTCTTCCTCATCCATCTCTTCCCCTACTTCCATCTTGTCCTCCGTGCAGATTCCCTCGACCCGGAGGACCTCGCTCGAGAGCTGGCAGGTAGCATTTACGAACGGACAGTTGGCGCCGCCGCTAGTGGCGGCGAGGAGCCGGAGGAGGAGCAGGAAGAGGTGGTGACAGACGGCTCTGGAAACCCCAGTAGTTCGCCCTCCAATCTCAGACCGGGTTCTGATAATGCCAGCAGCAGTGGCAGCGGCAGCAGTGGCCAGCAGGATCGGCCGCGCCGCCATGGTGCCGGCGTCGGAAAGGATCCTTGCGCGGTCGCCGCTGACACCGGCGGCGAGGCCAAGACCGCCGACGCCGCAGTCGCTGTTGCCGAGTACTCACCTTTGTTTGGATCCCCCGTGTGCGACGGACGAGGCAAGAAGAAATGCGTCGCCGCAGGGTATGTACGGCAGCAGCTTGGTTACTATTTGCACAGTACGGTGTATTTACGGCAGATGTGTGTGAGGTTTTGTTTTTTTAAGGACGGCAAGGGAAAGGGAAGGTAACGGCAGAGCGCAGGGTCGGAGGCGAGAGGGCCAGGGGTGCGGTGGGGTAGGGGTGCGGTGGGGTAGGGGTGCGGTGGGGTCGGGGTGCGGTGGGGTAGGGGTGCGGTGGGGTCGGGGTGCGGTGGGGTAGGGGTGCGGTGGGGTAGGGGTGCGGTGGGGTAGGGGTGCGGTGGGGTCGGGGTGCGGTGGGGTAGGGGTGCGGTGGGGTCGGGGTGCGGTGGGGTAGGGGTGCGGTGGGGTAGGGGTGCGGTGGGGTAGGGGTGCGGTGGGGTAGGGGTGCGGTGGGGTAGGGGTGCGGTGGGCTAGGGGTGCGGTGTGGTATGTGTGCGGTGGGGTAGGGGTGCGGTGGGGTAGGGGTGCGGTGGGCAGAATACCGCTCCACACTTGGTGACGAGGAAGAGGGATGTTCAGGATTGAAGGGGAATGTACGGCATCCCACAATGTCGAGGCCACATCACGACGATCAGCAGTCATCTACCATCCCAATCATCCACTCCAGCGCAGAAAAGGATGCTTGACCGGCGCTCAGCTGTAGCCATAAGCTGCAGTTTTCTGGCCGTGCTAATTCAAATACGGTTCTCTACTCCTCAGCCCCAGCAACCCCTCTTCCCTCGCGCCCCTCGCCGCATCTCATCAGGTTGACTTTTAGGCACATCACTCCTAAGCCCCATTCTGCCTGCTGCATCTTCTCCGCTTCCTCCTCCTGCATACATTATTCGCAGACTCGACGGCAAGGGTCGCGGTAGTGAGCTCTTTGCCCCCAACACCCTGTACGGCGAGTGCCCGGACGGCCAACCCGGCAGCCGCGGCTACGTGCTACAGGTGGCAGTCGAGTCTATGACGCCCGGAAAAGTGCTCCGCAGGTACGACATGTTCCCTACGTTTGACACAGACGTATTATTTAGGCATGTAGAATATCTTGTTTTTGTTAAGGTTTATGCCCCGTTTCGATGTAAATTTGCTGTTTCAGTTTTAATTTGGTTGTTTCGCGGTTATATCTTTTTAAACAAATCGCCATGTTTCCCATTCGTCGCGAGCGGCAAAATGCCGCTGGCTCATATTTTCCTTACACTCGGGGGCCCCCTGCCACTCTCCCTCCCTCTCCCGCTCGCCGCCCTTCCCCCCACCCGGACACCCCGCCGCAGCGGCGAGTTGGCCGCAATTCGCGCTGCGGTGGTGTGCTCGAGCGGCCCCAACACCTCGTTTGTCGACTTCTTTTACACCAGCGACGCGAGCATGGTGAGTATCTTGACACACATTTTTGCGGGAAATGCGTTATGCGAGCTGTGCAGGGAACAGAAACACGGGCGTACAAGTGGGCCCGGCTCCCATGGAGCGGATACAGCAGTCGACTCGACAGAATCCTTGTTTAATTTCTTATCGCGGTAGTGAGCTTATGTCGGAAGATGTGTGTAACATTGAAAAGATTCATTAGTGGTGGGTTTCATGGGTGTGGGGTCTCGGAAAGCTTTCGAGAGGTCCTTTTGCGACTGATCGCAAGTTATATAATACCTCATGAGGCTCCCTGTCGAATGTGCGGCGTCACATCGACCAAAAACTGTTCTGTTGCCCACTCCGCTCCGCAAGCAACAAGCCAACCAGGGCTTCTCCTGTAGCATGCTCTGTTGCCGAACCTCCCCCTCCTCTCCCCGATCCTCTGGCCGGCCTCCCGGCTGCCGCGACGGCTGCTGCAGACACCCAAGCGCTCCTGGACTCTGCTGTCCACGGTCGCCTGCGTCCCCTCTAACGACACCTCGGACCGCCCGGCCGTCACAAATTACACCTCCGAAACCTTTCTAATACCAGAAGGTGTTCTCGACACCACCTTCGTAGCCAGGGTGCAGCTCCGGGAGGAGCCAGCCGGGACCAGCCAGGCCGCCGCGCGCCGCCAGGCACTGCCCTGCCGAGACCCTGTAAACGGCAGCGGCGACCGCGATGACCTCGTCGTACGGGTGTGCCCTGCACCGGCGGGGGTTGACACTAAGGCGGCGGAGGCCGGGTGGTCGGACGTCCGCGGCGGCCATGATAACGGGGACGACCACCACAGTGGCGATACCGACTACCAGGGGGTGGAGCTTCGCGCGGCGGTGGTGGTGCCGCCACGTCATCCCATGTGGGGTCTGTTTGCGGCGCGTAGGAATCGAGGAGTAGGGCTTGGCTGAGCTGTGGCTGCCGATGCGCTGATCAAGGTTTAGGTCGCCCTGCGTCTCGACGGGTATGTATGATGATCCAAGTGAATCAGAAGGGCGGGAGCTCTTGGAGGCTGCTGCTCAGTGCCCCACAACCAACTCCTCTCGAGCACCGGGAGGTTGGTTGGGCTTTAAGTCGTGGCAACCGTTACATAACGGCTAAGTACGGTACGGTAGTATTTCCGTGAACCATTTAATGTGTCCATAGAAGAACACATGTTACTCTCTGTTCATGTTGACGTGTGCTGCGTGATTCGATTAACGATTTCGTTCTCCCTGATATCCTGACGGTGCGTTATATTCGCTGTGATTTTCGGGGGACGCAGATCATGTACGATAAAAAAAAGGAAGCTGTTGCTGGGGCCTAGGAAAATTTACATAATCAACAGTTCCTTCTTTTCACTGCATGGCCGGACTCAGAGTTAGGGAACTGGCCTTCCCCAGGGCCAGGGGCCAATAGCGACTGTGGATACCGGGTCGAGCAGGGGTCAAGTTCCCCCCACGGCCCTCTCGTACATCCCGTACACGCTCAGGTCGAGTTTTGCAATTCCATCTTAAAGGTTGCCGCAACATTACTGTGGAATGTTTTATTTTTCAAGTATACTTTATATTACAAATACTGCAAGCTTGTAACGCTGCCCATCAATCCAAATCGACAGTCCCGTGTTCTCTCGCCGCGGCGCATTCCGGTTGACGGTCGAGCATGACGTGTTTCGTGCCGCAGGCACAGTGGAAAAGCATGTTGATATAGCTGCATGCTGCCGTACTGCCGTACTGACAGTTATTACCCCTTCGAGGGAAACCTACCGGGCAGCGGCCCGGCTAGCCAACCATATGCATGTGTCTCCGTCCGTACGTTTTAGCTTAAAACAAGCTTGATAACACCATCCTCAAAGTTCCCCTCAAGTTCCCCTCACGTGCACCGCCAGGTAAAGATTGCCTACCCCATGCAATTCACCCCGTGACACCGTTTCCGGGCTGCCAGCCGCACACAGTCATCAAAGACAATAAAGACACCACTACCTGAAGTCACCACTGTCGTAAGAGGGTGGTCTACACTCGAGGGGGACACACTGCCGGCTCCAACAACCGGCTCTGTACTCTCCCAAGCCGCCCTAGCTCTCAACAGTATGGGCCCCACACTCGCAAGCGTCGGTTGCGTCAGAGTACCCAAGCGGGCATTAGGCAGCACAGATGGGGAGGGCTACACATCCGAGCCTCGAGCCCCTTTCCATAAACACTGTTTCTTTACCTTGGAAGCTCCAAGACATTACACACAGGGGGTAGTCGACCGAAAGGCGGCGGGGCACACATGTGTTGTACGCGGTGTGGTGCGCAGCAGTAAGCTGCGGTACGTATCCGGCAGCAGCAGCGGCCTTTGCCTGGTCCTGGTCCTATAGCTGTAGCCCGTCAAGACTCCCACAGTTTATAAAACTGAGAAGAAATAAAAGAGACAACCACTCCGCTACAGCATGCCAGCGAAAATAGATCAATACATACAGACAAACATTAAAGTAAAAAGCATAAAAACGTGTACGAACATTAATCAACCGTAAATATAACGGTAGGTAGCCCAGCGGCGATGCACCGCCGCTATATCCCGTCACCAGGGGACTGATGCTCAAAGAGGACGCGATAGCGCCCGTCGGCGACTATAGCGCCCGTACACCATAACGATAACGATAACGATAATGATGATAATGACGATGATGATGATGGTGATATTGATGATGACGACGATGATGTTGACGATCACACACGAAAATGCGACACGAATGAGACAGCGACATACATACAGGCATAGCCAAAGAAGACGATGAAAAGAAGGAAATGGCACACACACACAGCCACACAGCCACACACAGAGGCTCACAGCACAACACCACTCTCCCAGTTCGACCACGGCACTCTTCTTCTAGCGGTGCCACGACGCGTCGCTCATTCGAAAAATAACCCGTACGGCAATCACTTTGGAGGCCTAAAGCAGTCCGGAGGTAAGCGGTACATATGAGCTCTACAATCGCCAATGTGGCCCCACCAGCATAAACAGGTTATAGGTTAATTAGGTAAAACCACTACAGGATGGTTTCCTCCTTGGGCGGGTGTAAAGGGCGGGGGGAGTGTGTAAAGGGCGGGCGGGTGTGTGTAAAGGGCGGGGGGAGAGGGAGTGCTCGTGATACCCGAGCACTCCCCGAGGACTACCTCGCACCACTTGGTGATGCTACGGTGACTACGGAGCGCAACACAGGATGTCCATTATATTGTTTGTTTTCCGCCAAGAAGGGTTTGTTCGCCAAGTGTCTCAATAGCAGGGAATTACCCGCTTGCTCACATACACACACACACTCACATATGCACGCAAACAGGCATATACGCAAACAGACACATACGGCAATCGGCACACGCGGTCACCACATGCAAAGGATTTCATGCGGCCACGTACATAAAAAGTACATAGGTGGTACAGACAGACAGACATTAACTAAAGAATTCTATGCCATCGCTTGTTCTTCAGGGCTGCCCGCGTCATGCCTGCGGTTCTTCCCCGCGGCCGCGGCTCTGTTTGCCCTTTGCTTTTTTTTCGCTTTCCCCCCTCCTGTCCCCTCCTTTCCCCCCCCTCCCTCCTGCTCTTCTTCTTCGTCCTCTTCCCACGGCAAAACAACGTTCTCCAGATCGCACGGTTGCCCCCCAAAAACACTTCCACCCCCAGGTGTTCTCATGCCCGGCAGCAGCAGAAACAATTTCAAGAGCTCATCACAACGACCCCCACCTCGCGCAGAGTCGGGCTTGATAACGTACCCACCACGGCCGTCCTTACCCACTACGCCCCTTTCGCCTTCCACACCGCCTTACTGCGCCAACCCCCACCCCGCACGAACGCCGTAGCCAAATTTTATAATAAAACACTCTTCATCACACAAGCACACAACGCGCAGCACTGTATCCGTATTTGAGCAATTCCCGGCAGCGCCGCGCTGCCGCCGCCATCGCCGCCGCCGCCGCCCCGCCACGTCATCAGCAATGCGGACTCCGCGTCCGTAGCTGATTCGCATTTCCTCCTCCTCTCCTCCTCCTCCTCCCAGTTCGCTGATTCCCGGCTAGTTCCCTCTCCGTTGCCTCTCTTCCTCCTTCTCCTCCTCCTCTTCCTCTATTCCCTTCTCTGCCTCCCAACCTTGGTTGCTGCCCCCTCTGCCGCCTCTGCCTTCGCTGTGCTCCTGCATGGACCTGACGATGGCTAGCGGCAGGGAGGCCACCACTGCGGCCCAGGCGTACACCGCCTCAGCTGACGGGCCCCCATCGGAGTGCGGCTGCTGATGCGGCTGCTGCTGCTGCTGCTGCGGCGGCGGCGGCGGCGGCGGAGGAGGAGGAGGCGGAGGCGGTGACTGCACCGGCGCCTGTTGCCGCACCTGTTTAACCCCTGACCACATGCGAACACGGATACCCTGGCCCCGCACCGTACTGCCGTCCTCCGCGCGGCCCGCCTCGCGCCGTCCGGCGTTAACCCCCCCGGGGTTGGGAGCATCACCAGCCTGCCGCACTTGGGTGTCGGCACGGGTGCGCCTGGGAGTACGGCCCACCCGCATTTCCCGGTAGAGTGCCGCCGCCAGCGAGGAGCTGCTATCTGAGGAGCTGTCGGCAGCCCCAGAATTGATATTGTTGTCAATGGTGTCGTCCTCGTCGTCCACGGGAATCGATCGGGGGATCTGGCGCGCAGATACAGAAACAGTGGCCGTCGCGTCCCCCTCCCTGGTGCCGTTCGCAGTCGCCGCCGGCGGCGCCACCTCCACCAGCACCGGCTTGATCCCGAGGCCACCAAGCAGCCCCATAAGGCCCCCAAACAATCCACCAGCCCTGCCGCCGCCGGTTACAGGCTTGCGGACGGGAGCCTTGCCCGTCGGCGGCGGCGCCGCCTCCGCCGCGAGCTCCTGCCTCCGCAGCCGTTGAAGCAGGCGTTCAACCTCCGCCTCCGCTTCCTCTGCTGCCGCTGCATCAGCCGCGACTGTGCAGCTGTCTGGCGCTGTAGAGGCTGCCGCCGCCCGGGGGCCCCCGACGGTGGCCATCACCTGATCCCCGCCAGGACCTCCTCCTGCTAGTACTCCGTGGGATGGGCTGCGATTAGGCCCTTGGTCTGAAGCTACGATGGCGACGGCAGAGGCGGCAGCGGCGGCGGAGGTGGCGGAAGCGGTGACGGAGTTGCCCCCAGCGCCACGCACACGGCCAGGAGCGTCTCCGCCGACGCCGGTGTCGGTGCCTCCGGCGGCGCTGATTCCGGGACTCGGTACGACATTGTTTGCCATCAACACAAACGGTTGTGTCGAAGGCTGTGACTCTGACGTCGATGGCGCCGCGGCCGCTGCTTCTGCTTCTGCTGCTGCTGGTCCCTTGTCGCCACAGGACGGGTCGACGTCACCGATGTCGGCAGCTCCGGAACTGTCCTTCCGACCTTGAAGCTCCTGCACCTGGGCCTGCAGGACCGTGCCGTAGCACGGGGCGCACGTGCGCCGCACAGGTGTGTGTGTGGGGGGGAAAAGACGGAGTTCTTCCCTCTACTTCCCACTACTACTACAGGCTAACAGAAAACACCCACCTCGCCAAAAGTAATATGTTCTGATACGGACGTCAGAGGTAAGACGAAACCATTGGCGAGTGAAAAGCAGATATCAGAAATAGACGGATAGTCCAGGAGAAGAGAAATGCTGCAGCACGAACACTTACAGGAATATTTACCAACGTACCAGCGACCCCCACACGACGAGATTACCCTAAGCGACGGTCGCCGGGTTGTTCTCCGCAAGACAGACGCCCATGGATATACCCCCTATGTACTGTCCAGCTTGCTTTCCGTTGAATCTTTCCCACACACACTCCCCCTCCTCCTTCCGCGCCCAAGCCGCCCCTCCCCACAGGCATGCATACACACACACCTGCAATGCCGCCACCAGCCCCAGGGCCCGGTGAAGGGCCCGACTGCGCTCCTCGAGCTGGACCTCGTAACCCCCTCGAAGCTGCGACGGGGAGGAGGGGGGGGACCAGGGCGAGGGGTGCGTGGGGAGGAAAGGGGGTTGCGTGGGTGGGGGGCAGGGACAGAGAGAGGGGTCTGGATCTCACCGTGGACTAGCTACCATCATCATACTTCTACGACACATCTTCACTTGCGGTCGTGCCCGAGTGGTTAAGGGGTCTGACTCGAAATCAGATGGGATCTCCCGCATAGGTTCGAATCCTGTCGACCGCGCTCTGAATTATTTCTTATCATTTTACCAAGTATGTGTCATATGCTCATATAGTGCATATTAAACCTTACACTCACGACATTAATCGGGAGATCTAGATGTACGAGTTGCTGCTGAGGAGTGGACATGAAGTCTAGTTGATGGACTAAGTTTCGCTGAGTTGGTGGTGATGGCTGATCTACCTCTACGGATATCGGCTCACTGGATGAGGTGGGGTCTAGGCAGCAGAACCAATAAACCGCCGTCGGTTGTACGGTGGAAACAACTTTTAATATATGGGCTCCCGGCTTTGACGGACACTCCCCACACACACTCCTGCGGCATTTGTAACTCGAAATCATCACTCCTGAGCACCCGTTGGTGGGGATACTGGAAGTGCCAACCATCCAGACCATCCCAACCACATCAAACCCCCTTACAGCTTCGCTCCCACTACCGCGCCAGACGGGGGACTAAGACGAGGGGTGGTGGTGGCCTGCCCCACACCTCCGACCCAACCCATCCCGCTTCAAACCGGACAGGAGCAAATGCCGCAGTCGCCCAACCACTCACTCACCTCCGCCATCTCAGCCTCGTGCGCCCGCCGCAGCGACCGCAGATCCTCCGCCCGCCGTACCTCCACACCCCGCACGGCATCCCCCTCCGCCGCCGCCGCCAGCCCACTTTGGGGGTCCGCCATGTGGGGCCCCGCCTGGAGAGCTGCATCACGTTGGGCTAGCTGGGCGGCGTGGTGGGTGCGCAGCTCGGTGATCTTGTGTGCATGTGTGTGGTTTGGGGGGTTGGGGGGGTGGGGGGAGAGGATGGCGGGAGAGGAAAGTTCCCTTTAGGGGGAAGGTAAAGTAATAAGGGCGGATGATTCCCTGACATGGCAATGTCAAGGAATGGGAAGGATGATTGGGCCGGGATGAGGGAAGGGAAGCGGGCCCGCTGCTGGCACGGTTTTTTTTCAAAGTAATATAGCGCCTCGCCGTACGGTACTATACCGTAATCCCATGCAGATATCAATCCCAGTGTACCTGCTTCCGCAGCAAATCCACCTCGATGGCGTGTTTCTGCTGCAGCTGTCGCTCCAGGGATCGCAGGGCCTCCGCCTGCCGTACTGCCGCCGCTTGCGCCGCCACGGACTCCGCCGCAGTTGCCGCGTACGCGGCGGCGGTGACCGCCGCCCGCGCCTCCGCGCTGCGCAGCGCCGCCACCTCTTCACTTGCCGCCGCCGCCCGCGCCTCCGCCTCCGCCAGTGCGACCCTCATCTCGTCCAATTGGCGACTGAGCACCGCAACTGATGTGGAAGCGGCGACACGGCGACGGTTAAGTTAACCTAACAGACACGTGACAGGCCTTGGTGCCGTGTACGTCAATCGAGTGCAGCTCCAGGGCCCAAGGGGTCCTAATGGAAATGGGGGTCATTGGAGGCCTTATGGAGCCGGAACGCCCCCCCCCGCAGTACCACAGGGCTTCAGTCTCTCAGTAACCCCACCCCACCCCACCTCACCCCACCTCACCCCAACCCAACCACGCCAGCCGCTATCGGGGTGGGGACCCGCATCGCCCCTTCCCGCAGCTGTCCGGGATTCTGCATGTCGTGTGTACCGTTACCCGACGTCTCGTGCACCCGGTCCCTGCCCCTGCCTCCCGGCC